ACACACACACACACACACACACAGACAGATAAAGATGATTACCGTCAGATCTTATCAGAGTCGTGTCATGGTGTTAGACAACACAAAGCAGAGACACAGGCAGCAACAAAAAAAAGCTAGACAATGTCACAGATAATCCTGCTGGTCTAAACACAGGAAAAGAATCATGCAGGTTCTTTTTTTCCAAAGGGGATACCTTGCCATGATTAAGTACAGGATTTTTTTTAAAGGAGGACACCTTAGATTTAGAAAATGTCCTAAGCTCCACAAAGTAAACCAGGATACATGATGAGTTTGAATCGCGAGTGGGAGAGGAGCAGTTCAAACATGACCCGTAACAAGCCTGGGCACCACCCACACAAAGCCACACAAACTAGTCTCCTGGTGATGGACCTGATCTTTTTGTCCACTCACCCAGACACTCCCTACATCAGCACCTTTAACACACCACAAAACTTTGAAGTAGAGGGATTACCCCCACTGCACGGCTCTGTGCCGGGACACACTATTTACTGTCAGCACAAGATTTATTAGCTCCACCACTTTGTAGGCGGAAGGTGCAGACAGTCCTGTTCCCGGCGTGCGTGACACGTGGTCAGCTGTTGGAGACAGAATCATACAGGGTTGTGGATGTGGAGCACGTCCCTCTTTTCATCCAAAACTCTAAAAACGTTCATGTCTTCCTGCTTGAATGCTGGCATGTTAATGGTCAAACGTGGTGAGTCAAGCTATTAGTCAAGCTTGCAGGTATTAACTGCAACTGGGGGGTAGCTACCTTTCTTACTGATAAGCTAGAGCACGTTCAGATAGTGGATGTAGACTGAAGACAGACATTTTGCAGCGCATTGTGCCGCCAAATCGAAAATGACTCACCTCTGCATTGTTCTAACTTGAAGATAGAATATTTGTTCTGACTTGAATCATCATGAACAGGATGAGAAACTTAAAGCAAACATGGGCCTTTGCAAAGTAAGGTGTGAAGTTTCTCAAATGCTCTGTTTTACATATGCCGCAGAAGAAAATGTGAAGTATGATTTACAAAATATCCATATTAGTGCAGGAGTAGAGGCAGGAGCAGTACATTTTACCCTTCATTACATCCAGGAAGAAAAGTAAACAGAAACAGGTGAGTGTCCACATTGTGTCTTCTGCTTTTTAATGTGTACAAACTCACATCCTTAAAAGTCAACGATGAATTGTTCCTCTAATTCATAGAGTGCATGTATCCTTTGAAAAATGTACAATTGTCCCTTCTTTCTGTCTCCAGATGGTTATTATCAACAATTAATCAATTATCTTGCCAGAGTGAAAACAACCAGAAAGAACCAAGATGGCCTCTGAGGGCCAGCAGTTTCCAGGGGACTGGGAGGAAGTAGCCATGACTCAGGTAATCATTCAGTGCTGTAGACAGCGTCTGAGATTCCACAGAGGTTTGTAGTAGTAGGACTGACACACATGTGGAGGACCAGGGCCATGGAGTCCCACTGTGAGGTAGTATGAGTGTGCATGTGTGTGTGTGCGCGGACACACCCATTCAGAAAGTCTAAACACATGAGTGAGTGGGTGCTTACATGACTTGCCTTTCTTCTATGGCCAGTAAATCAGAAGTCATGGCCACCCAATGTGTTTTTCAGCGGCACAGCCCCACGTGTCTCAAAACACAGACGTACAAGGTTAGCCATTGTTGTGGGAAAACCAGGGCACATAACGCAGAGCAAGAAATAACAAGAGAGAACCGCGGGTCAAGCTGTGGCACAACTCCTATCAAACACTTATGCAGGCCAGTCACATGTGAACTTTGCTCACACTGAATGAAAAATAAGGAGAGCTGGGGCCCAAAGTCCAGTGCTAATCACACACCATGCTTCAGGGAGGCTTGTGAAATCTTGGTCGGCTTTCTTGTAGCGAAGGGAGGGAGAGGTCAACGTGAACTCATAACACACTCGCTGCTGCCTTGCTGTCTCAGCAGAGGGTCACCTGTGTTTGTTGTGGGAAGTCAGCACTGCAGATTGATGCCCTCAGGTTTTACATCCACCGCTTTACAACGGACGTTTTCAGCCTGAGTGGAGCTGGAGTCTTATAATTTACACAGGAAACAAATCAAAGAAACTGGGCATTGTTTGGGGAAATTCACCTTTCTGCTTTCTTGCAACAAATTAGATGAGGTGATTACAATTGTCATTTCTGTATGGTAACTTTGAAGCTACAATGGAAAAGAAAAAATGTTGGACCAACTTTAAAAAAAATACTTCAGCTGATAACCCACAACACAAGTTGTGCTGATATAAATTGTCGAACATTTTGTATGTCTACTTGTTTCCATTGGAGATTTTTAATTAGAGAAGAGGACGAGCTATGGCTACTCCCTGTGATATAATAGAATAGATTCATGTCTTTTTTGGACATTTGAAGTTGGTCCAACAGTCCCCTTATGCAACAACATTTAAATTCACTAGATGCAGATCTTTATACAAAAATACAGACCAACCAACAAACAGGAACAGAGAGAAAACTGAAAACTGTCAACTTTTTATGCAGAAAGAAGCAGTTTTTCAGATATTTCACACATTTTTAAAGCGTTTAACATCTTGACAATGTTACGTTCATGTGCTGAGACCATAGTGTCAAATGTCTCAGCGCTTGGTAATATAAACCAAAAATATAAAAAACAACTAACTGTCCACGTGACAGTTAAAATGACTGAAAAACCCCCAAATAAAACGATTCAAATAAATGCAAATCAAACATTTCAGAAAGCTTTCAAGAAGAGAGAGGTTTTAAGACGAGATTTACAAGAAGCTGGAGAGATGGTGTGTGTCAGTTCAGTAGGCAGAGAGAGGTCTAGTGTGGGGACTCGAATACAAAAAGCTGCATCTCCTTTTATGACAAACTGTGACCTGGGAGTTACCAGCAGGGCTCCAACTGCAGAGCTCAGCAGTCAGGACAACACATAAGAGCTCAATAATTCTGAAATATGTTTTGGGGGCTACGCCGAGAGGATGTGAAAGGCTCTCACTCATAAAATTGACCACAACCTGAGATACAAGCTGTTGACTAAGCCATGACAGCACATCTCATATCCTGTCGCAACTGCAACAATGTGTGCCCTCCTCCTATCTACCTCCCTGCTCATCGCCTCCTCATAAACAAGCTGTCAAGGGCCCAGGGAAGGGAAGGGGGGCACCCGGCAGCTGAATTCCTACTCCTGTGGACATGTTGAAATTTGCCTCCCTCTCCCAATGAGGCAATCCGAACGGCTGACTAAACCAAACACGCCCAGCTAAGGTGAGAGTGGCTGCATTCTTCAGGAGTAAGAAAAACTCTAGAAGAAGGGAGTTAGATGAACTGCTCTGTGTTCGTATCACTTTTGCCGCATAAATCGCCAATTTCCGCAGAAAGTTGAAAAATGTTGCTTTACTTCACACAAGAGCAGCCAACGTTATGAAGTGACGTCATCCGAAAGCTGCAAACCCTGCGACGAAGACATGATGAAGTCCGAAAGTCAGTCTCATTTGCCAACAAAAATAAGCTCAAAAGACTGAGCAAAGCAGTTTCCTGGTGTGCCAAGAAGCATCTCACCTCAGCTACACACAGTGAAATGTGTGTGTGTGTGGTTTTGTTGTGGTTGGTGTGTGTTTGTGTGTGTGTGGTGTGTGTGTGTGTGTGTGTGCACTTTGTACATTGGAAGCACTTATTTCAACAGAAGATGTCTGTTTTGTATAGCTACCTCCAGAAAACAGGAAACACACATTTTATTTTATTGTGTAATTTATTCATTTTTACAGAAGTTGTAGCGTATTCTTTTTGTAAAGCTACGGAACTTGTTTGACTGATCAACATTTTGTAAGTTTGAGCCATGTGTTTAAG